ATTTATTTATTGAATTTTATTTCAATAAGCAACTCAGTGGTAATTCTACAATATTTTCAACAAATATGCCATTAAAGGCTTGCATCCCATTCTCTGAACAACTTCTTTCATTCCTCTTTTTAAATTAAGTCATGGAACAGCAAAGCCTAATCACCCACTTTAAAATTCTCTCGGGCATTTTAACTACAAAGTCAGAACAATTTTGCTGGCTATGTACTTCACTGGGCGGCTAGCAAAAGGTGTGGGAGGAGAGCCTGCTCTTTTCAATAAACCTATGAGAGAATCAGGGAGGGTTTCATACTGTTTCTGCCACGAATGAACTGTGAAACCTCTCCAAGTAATGTGTCTAAGTCCTTGTTTTGTAAGTGGAATTTAATTCAAAATAACTGTCAAATTTACACCACAGAGTTGAAATGGTGATAAAGTGCAATAGTATGCATGACAATATAGTCCTTTCTGATTCTGTAAGGCTCTCTGGCCCTGTTGGTGTTCTTGTGGCATATTTAGCAGATATGACCATTGTCTTTTGATGGATAATGACCCAAAATTTAAATATATGCAAATCTATGGGTAACAATTAGCTAGGAAGGTGAAAGATGGCAGAATCAGGGAAAGAAGGTCTTGCTATGTGGATGAACTTATGGGAGTCAACACTAAATGTGAAGATTTCTGTATGGCATGTTAATGGCTACCAGACAGCTTCTACTCTAGAGCAGGCATTAAACAACCAAGTAATCATGGACAACATATCAGCCAGTGCATCAGCTATCCCTCTGTCATCAGAGACCTGAGGGCTTGAACACTGGGAACAACTAACAGAGTAAATCATGGTTTCAGGGATAGAGGTTATGCATGGACCCAACTACATGAGCTCCTGGTTACCAAGGCTACTATAATTTGTGCCACTGCTGAATGACCAGCAGTCAACAAGCAAGACCAATTGTAATTCTCAGATATAGCACTATCCCTTCAAAAGGCCAACCAGCCACCTGGTGGCAAGTTGAATATATTGGAACCCTTCCATCCAGGAAAAAGCAGCAATAAATACATTTGGAATTAACAGTTTTTGAACCTATACCTATTCTAGGTATGAATTTGCCTTTCTTATCTGAAAAATCTCAGATAGCACCATTATCCATGGGATTGCAGAAAATTGAATCCACCCACTCGGGATCCCATAGAACATTGCATCAGACTATTAATAAGTGAGTTTTTCTCAACCAGGGGCAATTCCCTCCCCCACTACCCACCCACCCTACAGGGGACATTTGGCAACCTCTGTAGATAAATTTGGTTGTTACAACTGGGAGGATGCTACTGACATCTAGTGGCTAAAAGCCAGGGCTGCTGTTAAACATTCTGCAGTGTTCCCATATAAACATAGCTTGTCCAAAATGTCAATATGCCACTGTTCAGAAACCCTGAACTAAGAGACTGACTTTACAGCAAAGGAGATACAGCAGTGGGTCCACGATCATGTGATCCACTAGTCCTGTCAAGTACCACAGCATCCAAAAGCAGCCGGCATTGAAAAGCAATAGAATAACTTATAGATGACACAGGTAAGGCACACCTCGAAAAGAATACCCTTCAAGGATAAGGAATTATCTTCCAGGAAGCAACATACACTCACATTAATGGCCATAAAATGGCACTGTGCCCCATTAATTAGGACACATGGTGCAAAGAATCAAGAGATGGAAGTAAAATGATCCATAAGGGGTTTCTGCTTCTTTTTCTTTTCTTGTTTTTCTTTTTATTGAGTTTACTAGAGGCCCAATGCATGACAATTCATGCACTAGGAGTGGGGCGGGGGTTGGGGGGGAGATTCCATCAACCCAGCCGTGCTCTCTCTTAGTCCAGGACTCTCAGGGGATGTCCGACTGATGGCTTAGGCCCACTCCCTGAGGGAACAGGTCTAAGCTGGCAGTCAGACATACCACTGGCATCCCAGAAGCTCTAAGGGGTGGGGGGAGGTGGAGGAAATGTCCAACTAATAGCTCCCAAGTGCGGAGTGGGCTTAAGCCATTGGTCAGACATCCTTAGCACTGCTGCGGAGGCAGGAGAGTCTCCTGCCACTGCTGCTGTGCTGGCCAGCCATGAGCTGACTTCTGGCTCAGCTACACTCTCCCTGTTGAAGTGCACTGACCATCAGAGGGCAGCTCCTGCATTGATCATCTGCCCCCTGGTGATCAGTGCATGTCATAGTGACAGGTCATTCTTGGTTGTTATGCCCTTAGGGTCACTTTGCATATTACCCTTTTATTATACAGGATTAGGGTGACACTTTGTTGAACCTGACAGCAATTCCCCAAAAACTTTCTGTATGTAAGTTCCAAACTGGAGTCAACTTTCTAGAGAACTTGACTTGCAACTAATACATATACTGCAGTCCATGCATTTGAAGAGTTAGTCCAAGTATGCTGCTTAAGCCCACCACAACTTTCTCCCTTCCTTGAAAGCTTGTCTTCTGAGTATCTGTTCACAGATACACACTATTCATTATTCTCCTCACTTTTGCCCATTCTCTTTCATGTTTGGGAAAGTTTTCTGCTAAAAGCCAGAATAGCAAGTAATGGAACTAAAAAGAAAGTACATAAGAGATGTTCCTTTTTTTTTTAACCTGAAACAAGTATTCTATGATAAAAAGATTAAAATGAATTAAAATTAGTTTTAGCTCATCAAATATTTGGCCTGAAGCATTTTTTTATGAAATGCAAAACTCACCTTGATCTAGTATCAAATATACCAATTCTCCTTTTCTTTCTTCTATAAAACACACTGACTTTGTTTATAGTGATGTTGATATTAGTCATCTTTAAGAAGACTCGCACTTTGATCTGTTTGTCCAGTAGCAGTACCAGGTTTTTATGTTTTTCATTTCTATTCTTATACATCAGCCTTAGCAGGCGAGAAACTGGCTGAAGTGAAGGGTTGATTCAAATGCCAACTGAACAACAAATGAATACAGTCAAAATTCTATAGCCTAATTGAAATTATAATCAAATTCTTTATTGGCCAGAACTAAGACCTCAATATCCCCATTAAACAAGTAAACTCAGAATATTCCCTTAAATTCACATTCCTATTGAAAACAAATCTAAAGAGAATGAGTATAATTGGTATATTTTCTTCTTTAAATTCTTGGTAAAGTTACCAGTGAAACCATCTTATTTCCTTGAGGGAAGGTATTTTTTTTTTATTAAGACATAATTGACATATAGCATTATATAAGTATTGAGTGTAAAACATTATGACTAGATTATATGTATATATTGCAAAATTATCTCCACAATAGTCTAGTTAATATTCATTACCATGCATGGCTACAATTTTTGTGTGTGTGTGATGAGAATTTTTAAGATCTTCTCTCTTAGAAACTTTCAAGTACATACTATAGTATTGTTAACTATAGTCACTATTGTTGTATATCATATCCCCAGAATTTATTTATTTTAAAATTGTAAGCTTTTGGCTACCTTTTTATTTATCAATTCTATTTACTTAATAGTACTATTCTATTTTTTCTTTCATTTTGTCTGTTATTTTTCTCAAAAAAAATTATCCCTTTCATCTAATTTTTTTTGTAAGATTTATAACAATATTTAATCATTCTTTCTTTCTTATATAATCAAATTTTCAAATGGTATCATTTTCCTTTAGCCAAACCCCCCCCCCCACCAAATTCCTCTAGCATTTATTGTAGGGCAAATATGCTGATCAATACTTTTCTAGGTTAATATGTTTTATATTTTTCTTTAATCAGCTTAAATATATTGTTCCATTGTCTTCTCATTTTCATTGTTTCTGATGAGAAGACAGCCTCTTTATTGTTGATCCTTGTATATACTGTGTGATTTTCTTCTTGCTTTTTTATGTTCTTTTTAAATTTGTCTTTCAGTTAAACAAAACATAAAAATTTGGTTCAATGTAATGTGTCTAGAGAATCCTGGTCCCTACTTGGTGTTTGTTAAATATAAATGGATTTTTTATAATGTTTTGACATTTTCCAACCAATATTTTCTCAAATAATTTTTCTGCTTCCTTCTCTCTCTTCTTCTAAAACTTAAATTACACAAAGGCAAATTCATTTTCTATTCTGCCACAGGTTATTGATGGTCTGCTTTTGATTTTCAAAATAATTTTATGGTAAATTTTCTCATAATTATTAATAATTCTGATAGAAAATCCAAAAGAAAATCAAAAGGTAAACAGTATCATCAATTGATATCATACCTTTAGAAATGGAAGTATTTTTTTTCTCTTCTCTCCCAAACCTTAAACCTCATTTTCTTTTTGAATGTCTTATTGTGTTTGCCAGAACTAGCAGTTTGTAGTTATTACTAGAAATAATAATAACTATATTTTGTCTTTAATCTAATCTTAAAGGAAAATATCTAAAATTTCATCAGAGGAAAGCCATTTGCTAAGGTTATTGGAAAATACTATCAGTCAGTAAACTTTAGGGAGCTTCTAGATTTCAAGTATTTTGCTAATTTTAAATAAATTTTAAAATGTATTGCTTTTGTTTTTCTCCAACTCATGGGAAAATACAGGACCATAGTCACTAGTGCTATTCTCCAAACATTTCAAAGTATCTCTATTTCTGAATGCATGTAAGGTCACATTTCTCTGTTCCCTGGAACTCAGGTTGGCCATGTGGCTTGCTGTGACTTATGTTGTATGAGCAGACTTATGTTGTATATCACTTCTGGACAGTGTAGTATAGTTCACCAGGTTCACTTTTCCTGACTCAGTGATTGTGTAAACATGTGTAGAGAAGGAGTTTATAATAGCCTGGATCCCTTGGTGACTATGATGAGCAGAATCTCGTTGCCAGTGTTTAGTCTGGATGGGTAACAGATATTGGAGTTTATTCATGCAGAATAACCTAATCTTTCCTTTATTTTTCTGTTTATGCTAAGCCATTCTTGCATTTAAGGTACTTGCACTTTATCATAATATATTACTTATTAAGGTTTTAAGTTCCATAGCTTCCTTTTGTAGGTAATATCATACTTGGTGTGTCTAGTAGGCAAATCAGGTAAGCAATGCAACTTAGAGAATATTTTCTTTAAAAAAAAACACATTTCTTGCTGAAACCAGTTTGGCTCAGTGGTAGAGCGTCGGTCTGTGGACTGAAAGGTCCCAGGTTTGATTCCAGCCAAGGGCATGTACATTGGTTGCAGGTACATCCCCGGTAGGGAGTGTGCAGGAGGCAGCTGGTAGATGTTTCTCTCTCATTGACGTTTCCAGCTTTCTATCTCTCTCCCTTCCTCTCTGTAAAATATCAATAAAATAAAATAAATATATATATATATATATATATATATATATATATATATACACACACAACAACACACATTTCTTTCTTAACGTGAAATTAGTGAAAGGAAAATAATTAAATATATAGTCCCTGTCTTTGGGAAAAATAGCTTATTAAAAGAAATGAAGTTCCAAATGACAACTCTACATGTTGAGCTTAAGAATTTAAAAAAGAAGCCGAAGCCGGTTTGGCTCAGTGGTAGAGCGTCAGTCTGTGGACTGAAAGGTCCCAGGTTCGATTCCGGTCGATGGCATGTACATTGGTTGCGGGTGCATCCCCGGTAGGGGTGTGCAAGAGGCAGCTTGTCAATGTTTCTCTCTCATCAACGTTTCTAGCTCTCTATCTCTCTCCCTTTCTCTCTGTTAAAAATCAATAAAATATATTTTTTTTTAAAAAAAGAAGAAGGAATAAAAAAGAAATATTTTCTAGATGGAGTAATTCTGAAAGGCTTTCTGGAAAAAAGTGACATTTAAACTGAGTTTGAAGTATGAACAGAGTAAGGATGGGGAAATGTCTAGGCAGGGTCCATTAAAGACATTTACTATGAGGAAAGTATAAGCAAAATATATTAATAAAACAGCAAGTTAAGACAGTTTGGCTTACTTATAATAGCAGAGCTAAACTGTAGGAGTATGAATTTGATTCTACATGCATCAAAAGATGTTTGAATAAGGAAGACATTTTGTTATTATTTTAGGAAGAGGACCAATATTGTAATTCTATTTAATATGAATTAGAAGAGATGAGTACTAGAAGTTGGGAGGGGCAAGAATTTTTAATTGTTGAGTTGGGACAGTGAGGCCTGGAAGAGGAATGATGTTGAGTTTATTGAGCTCCATGGTTTATAGATGCATTTACCTATGACTTGGAAACCTAACATTTTTCGTTTTTGTTTATTGTGAGTCATGTAAATAAAGTCTATAATGAAATACACCTTACTGGATAACTACCCCAATGTAGTATTTTACTTATTGGACACTGATTCAATTATGCCAAAGTTTAACACTAAAACCCAAAGTGAAAACACAGATGCCTATGGAAAGAAAGTTGGCAGCACAAACTTCTGGGGATTAGGTAGGGTTTTTTGTTTGTTTTTGCCTTTTGCTGCACAATGAGCAATTGTGATTCAGGTGTATTTGTTTATTCTGTAGAAAAATAATCCTCCCACTAAAACAAAAGTACCATTGTAAAGAACTAGATGTAATCAACAACATCCTACTTTGCCATGTCTTGCATAACTGTAAGGGGGTCACATTCAAGGATCATGATCAGACTTCTTTGTCTCCTTCTTTTTAAGAGGCATTTTGAGATTTGTAATGCTTCTCCTTGTCCTACAGCATCATTTGTCCAGGGTAGAAGGGTTGGGTATTAAGCATAGAAGAGTCAGTGTCCAATAAGTAAAATACTACAGTTGGGGTGGTTATCCAATAGGTGTATTTAATTATAGACTTTATTTATGTGTCTCACAATATATGAAAATGAAAGGTGTTATGTTTCCAAGTGCTAAGTCATAGACAAATGATGATAGGGTTTTTAAAGTGGTCACTTCGAGAGTCGTTTCATAACATATTAGTTGGCATGTCTTTCTTCCAGTTCTGGTTCGGTTACCTTCTCTCTATTTTCAATGTAAACAGGGGCACAAAGGAAATTATCTTCCTGCGGCTCAAAATAACTACTTAGTTGGATAAAATTTATAATGTTGGGTTCCATTTTTAGCCAGGAAATACAAACAAAGCATGGAGACTGCTTGTTCCCTGACCCCAAATTCATTCCATGTTGCTATAGCATCCCCCCTGAGAAAATGGGCCCGCCTGTTTTCCACCCCATAGACGCACTCAATGGGCTTTTGTCAGCTCTTGAATTATAGCATTAAAATTTAAACACTAGGGATTTAATGGAGGATTATTATGACACCCCAGTGCATTCTTTCTGTTGCCATTGGAAACAAGCCAAGGATGAAATAAAATAATTGTTTTAGAGGTGCTGTTTTCTAAAAGATGAAGGACCTACCTTATATCTTTGGGGTTTTGTAATCCAGCTTGTTTAGGTTACTATTAATATGAGAAAAGTACTGGTAGCATGTACCAATTCAATGAGTGAAGGTATTTTCTTTCTTTTAGTTCACCAGTGTACAAAGGCAGAAGATATTTTCACAGGCCCCAGAAGATGAACTTCAAGCTGCTACTCCCAAACACATTCTCCACTGTCTGGAAGACGTGCAAAGGCAGCGTTCTCCATCTGAAATCCTTCAAAGTGCTGTGGGAATAAAAGACTCCCTGCCAAAAGCCCCAGAGAGATCTCTATTGAAACCTAATGAATGGAACTGAGAATTCCTTGTTACAATACTGTTTGTTTCTTGGGTCATATCCTAGTATCTAAGAGGACATCAAAATAAATGACAAAAACAAGACATTATTGGGTTGGTCTATGAGACATTTTCTGATAGGCAATTTTGCATCTAGATTTCTTTTCTCTGCTAATCATTTGCCTTTCCAGTTTGGTATCATTTTCACCTTTTCCCTATTCTAGTGTCAACATCCAGGTTTATATTCAGGATTGTATTTTTTGTTTTAGCAACAGAGATTATAATTTATGTTGCCAAAAATACAGTTATATCCTTTCTGCTCCTGTATTTTTGCTGAATAGTGCTTTTAAAATATATATTTTTAATTTTCCATCTTTGGAATAAATTAAACTTCTTGTAGAAATAATACAAAAAGAGTAACAGAGAGTAATAAATAAATAGTCCTTTGGATTTTCACCACCCAAAGAAAATACTTCTTAATCTAAACATGATTCTGTATATACAGCAATGAAAATAAAGTTTATTTCACTGAAGTCTTTCAGTTCCCCTGAACTCTTCTGAGGTAACCCTATTACCATTGCTTCTGGTTTTCTTTCACAGGTAGCCCATGCAAAGATCTTTATATATGCCATTTTTACATGAAAATGGTAAATTTTACATGTTCAGCTCCTTGATTTCACATAATAATAAATCTTGAATACAGCATTTGTATGATATTTTTGTGGGATTGGGGAGTTGGGGATTTGTGGGAGGAGACTAAAGGTCTTACCTTAGAGTGGTCTTTGCTGAGCAAGCACACTGTTACCTGTTAGGTTATATGCAGCTGGTCATTACATGGAAAAGATAACATGTTGTATAACATGCTTTTATACAACAAAAATGGTTAACATTATATTTATTTGTCATGTTTTGGGATAATTTTCTATGGTTTGTGTGGAACAACTAATTTCTCTGTCCAGTCCCTAAATGAGAGATTTTTAGTACTGTACTTCCTTGTTATTTGCTTTCCAAAAAAAAAAAAAAATCATTATACTAGTAATTATGACTTTATGCACATGTATCAATATACTTGTACTCTAAATTACTAGAAGTTTATCTACTTATATTATATATAGATGTTCCCCATCAGTGAACCGGACCGCATTTATGAGAACCTCTGTGAGTTATGGGCCCCCAGTGAACCAATGGCGTTACTTCAGGAAACAGAGTGGGAGAGCAGACTTCCCTTAGAGGACAGCTGCTGTTTTTCAGGTCAAGTGAGGTACTGCTGGGGTTAGTATGACTGTACTCTTGAATGTGTCATTTTCACCTGATAAATGAGACTTATTGGGGCTTTACCACGTTGTTCATCATTGAGTCCCAGTTGATCCACTCCAAAAGAAGGAATATCAGGCCAGAGAGTCACAAGGCTTCCATGGGTCAGAGGTTTAGCTTTTCCAAAGGTCCAGTAGCAAGGTATCAGCTGGTTTTCTAAAAGTTGTATCTGGAAACCATGCCAAAGGCCATGAGTCTGAAACCCCAAAGGGTTTACTCAGGGCAGAGGCTGCCTCACATAGAGATCCCAATGACTAAAACTTGTCAACCAAACTGAGCTCAAAGGTGTCAGGTTTCAGTAAACTAACTTCTAAGGCATGTTCTTCAACAAAAAGAAAACTACTCCCAAAGGAAGACCAAGGTTGCATAAAAGTAAAGAAATTGAAAAAACATTATGTATTATACAAAATAGTCAAATTACTGGTGAATTGTTTAAAAAATTAAGTAAATAAAAAGGAGCCTCACTGGCATGACTCAGTGGTTGGGCTTCAACCTATGAACCAGGAGGTTATGGTTGTTTGATTCCCAATCAGGGAATGCGCCTGGGTTGCTGGCTCAATCCCCAGTGTGGAGCATGCAGGAGGCAACAGATCAATGATTTTCTGTCTTTGATGTTTCTATCCCTCTCTCTATCTCCCTTCGTCTCTGAAATTAATAAAAATATAATTTTTAATGACAGGAGATAGAGCCAGAGAAATAGTATTAGCAATGGAAAAGAGAATATAACTAAAGATAGAGCAGAGATTTAAAAGATAACATCACAATACTATGAACTTTTATATTTGAATTTCCTGGAAACAAGATAATACAACAAAAAAATAATCTTATAATAATGAGATTAATTTTATAACATTAAAAATAATGGGTTCAAGACTCCAAAATCTGGCATCTTGCATATTGAATACTTTAAGCTAAAGGAGATTGAGAAAACAGCAAAAGAAGGAAGATCCTTGCCCTTGAACTTCTCCCCTGAAACAAGATATAAAACCCTCATATCATTGGTGCCCTCCTTATACCTGGAGGAAAAGAACATTTTTTATCTCCAAGGACAAAGGAGCATCAAGGAGAATCCTAACTAACAGGACTTGCTAAATTTTTCCCAGTTTACTACACTTACCTATTCCTTGACCTGTCATATTTTACATGACTGTCTATTCCTCACCAGACCTAGCAGAGAGACACTCAGGTTTAACTGTTTCTTCCAATCTTTAATCCTTTTAAGGCTCTTGTGTCATGTAAATATTATGTTAAATAAATTTGTTTGCTTTTCTCCAGTTAACCTGTCTTTTAACCTCAGTTTGACTTTCAGATTCATCCAGAGATCCTAAGAGGGTCTAAGAATACTTTTCTTTCCCCTTATAACAATCTAAAATTGAACCCATTTAAAAAAAAACAAAAAACTTTATAGCCTGCTGAGATATTTGAAAATGTTTTATTAAACTTTTTCATCTATAAAATGGAAATAAAGGGAAAAGAATCCGTTTCATTTTCTAAGCCAAGTATGATCTTAATAACAAAATCAGATATATTAATTTTCTATTACTGCTATGACAAATTACCATAACTTTGTTGCTTCAAACAACACATATTTGTTATCTTATAGCTCTAGAGGTCAGAAGTCTGACACAGACTTCACCAGGGTAGGAAATAAGATGTGGGCAGAGCTTTGTTCCTTTCTGGGTTTAAGAAAGAATTGATTTTTAGAGGCTGTCCAATTAGCCCCCTCCCTCCATCTTCAGCTTCCTCTTTTTACATCCCTCTGGTATCCAGAGCTAGGAAATGTCTCCGCTTTTAAACGTTCTCTTGATATGATTAGACTGGGTCCACTTGGAAAATTCAGGATAACCTTCCCATCTAAATCTTCTTAATGTTAATCACATAGACAAAGTTTCTTTTCCCAAGTAAGGTAGAATGTTCACAAGTAACAAATAGTAGGACATGGACATATTTTGGGGTTGAGGCATTATTCTGCTTATTTCATCAACAAGCAAATTTGAGAAGGAAAATTTGGAGGTCATGAGCATATATGCTAATAGTCTAAGCAATATTTTATTAAAAAATACTTTGGGAATCTTAATCCATGATCCTATTATGATCAAGAAATTCAACATTGTTAAATACCTAAAAAAAAATCTATAAATGCAATTTACTATATTAATAAGGAAAAGGAAACCTTATATAATTATATCAGAGAAAAATTGCTGAAATTCAATAAGTATTTATGATACTAAAAACTTTTAGTAAACTAGGAATAAAAAGAACTTTCTATAATCTGATCTAAGAGTTCAACAAACAACCCCCACAGGCAAAAAAATTTAAAGTGCCTTTTTAAAACCAGAAACCAAAATATTACATTGCATAATTTATTTTTGCATTGTGGAGTGTGATGAATACTCTTGTACCTAGTCCTTTGTGCATATAATCTTGATTATTCCCTTAGTGTAAATTTCGAGAATTAGAATTGCTGAATAAGATTTAGGAGGTAAAATTAAACTTTACTCTAGACCACACCAGTAAGTATGAGTCACAGAGTTCTTTCTACCCCATACTGTGGTATTAAATACCACAATGTAGATTCTGGGAAGACTAACCCTAGTCAAGGGAGAATTCAACAAGCCATTTCCTTATCTTCTTGCTTCTTCCCTACTTTCTTCCATTCATACAGAAACTACTACAAATCATCTATTTTGGGGGAAAAACCAACAAGCATAAAGAATGGAAAAATCAATAGTTAGGGAAGAAAACATTCTCATGAAAGAAAAATTTAAAATAATCATCCTCAACAAATTTCCAAAAAAATATTACATCAATAAAAAAAAATTGCTATTGTAAAAAAAGAAAAGCCAGGGAACCAGAAGGTTTCTTGGAATTTAAAACTATGCTTATAGAAATAAAATATTTTAAAACCCTAATTGTTGTGGAAATAAAATTATTCATAAAGAAGATGAATAAAAGAATAGTTCTGGTTGAAGACCTAGTCACCTCAAGGAAAATCTTCCAGAATGAGAAGCAAAGGAAAACACACAAAGAGATATAATAAAACAAGTAGAGGATGGATGTGGAACTGTTTTGGATACTACTGGTAAACTAGTACACACAACTAAGGTAGCATTATAATAGGTAAGGGAATGGGACAATTCTAAATATTTGGACAGAAAATTGGGATAATATATTTACCTAATACATAAACATGTGAGCCTATTCATTTATGTGTATCTGATTGACTGTTGTAGAATATGACTAAATTTTTTTTCTTTTGAAAGACACATTTTATTTCTCATCATTGTGGAAATCACATAGATTCCTAAAAATTACAAGATGCAATTTCATAGAAACTGGAAATCTGGGTAACATGGAATTTCATGCATGTTCTGCTACTGCTGTGATTATAGAAAAGCAATGCTTCCTGTATGTATACACAAGAGACAAATAATGGTCATTTAGGAAGATGGGTTGTTTTACCCAACTTTAAGGGCTGACTTAACTTCAGACTTACACTAAGGATTCTGCATAGTTTCCATTTCATCTCAAATCAACTTTCCTTTTTACTGGCTTTGAAACTAAATAGCACAGAGAATTTCATTTGCATGGTCAAGCTCCATATATGGATCTAAGTTTTTGTTGTTATGTAATTTCAGTCTGCACATGGATTTCTTATTAAGACTTGTGCTTCCTACAAGATATAAATGCTCAACTGGAGCGCCCAAAACTCCCAAAATAGGACTCCAAACATCACTGAAACCTGACAGTAATGGCAAGAAGTCCACTAATATCCATGTTTGCAAACCACAGAGAC